CAATTGAATAAAACAAAAATGAACAAACTAAACAACTGACAAAAGAACCTCTATGCATTTTCCTGCAGATCATCTCAAACTAAATTAAACAATTTAAGAAAGGGAAGAAACTCAGCCTCATCCTTTTTAAAATATTCACCTTCGCTATGGATCTCCAGATCAGTTGTTTCAGTGAACATTCAGACTTAAGCAAGTATATCCAGTTGCTCATAATCAGCCTACTGCCTCGTCCTCCTCCGCTCCTGCTTAGTTCCTCCTGCATCTCTCCTCAGTGGATCCTTGACATCAGTTCAAGTGACATCAGGACTGTAGTTCTTCAAAAAGAATACACCAAAACTATTTTTCCTCTTTCTCTCTCTGCCACTCATAAAATTCATAAAAGGTTAATAAAATCTAAGCTCTGTCATTCAGCATACTTTCTCCTTCCACGATTGCATCACCTAATGCACAGCTAGACCCCAGTTTTCAGAAGGACACCTACTGTAGGTTGACCCTGCTGTCACCTAGTGGACCTTCCGTTCCACCTTGTTCCCCTGTTTCTTTTAGCATTCCCTTTTCATGGTCTGTTTTTGTCTCAGTGATTTCTCCTCGATCCGGCTCCTTCTTGTTTTCCTTATTCTCCCGTTGATTAATTGAATCTCTGCTTTCTTCTGCGCTCTCTTTGGCTCCTGGTGCTGCCTGCTTTACTCCTAGTCTAATTTTCTATCTCTGGCTCAGTCAGCAGGTGTCCTACAGTTTTTGATGTCCACCCTAGCTATTGAATGTAGTGTCTGCCTTTCCTTCTGTCTTTAACCTTACTATAGTACCTTTGATACCAAGTTCCTCCCTCCCGTCCCCTTCTTCTGCTCCTGATGTCACTCCTTGGCCCAGGAACTGCTGCAATCCTTCAGTACCTCTGGTTCAGTCGGCAGGCATCCTTCGATATTTCCCTTTTTGAATTAAACCCAATCGTTTAATTCCTTCCTTTTTGGGGGGGTCATAATTGGAAACGAAATCTTGTTCTCAAGTAGCTTTCTATTACTAATTGATATTCAATCGCTTTCGTTCAAACAATGGTTTCCAGGTCCTCTTTTTATTAATAACAAAGGCCTCATCATATCCTATAGCTGGTTTTTCATTCACACGTACAATATAACTGGAGTCAACATTGAATGGTTCTGGAAACGCAAACCCTGCTGTGGCCTAAAATACCCTCTCATTGTAATACCATATTTTCAGCATTTTTCACCTGATTAAAAATTTGCCTAAGGCAGACGCAGTCCTGAATACAATCATTTTCCAAGAGCTTTTTTCAATGATTTTGGTTGTTTTAGACTCATACTTTTTGGATTGAGGAACATTATCCAGACTGAAGACTGGAGAGCTACTGTATAGAGACAAAATACAAGATTGCCCTGTTGAAACCCCAGCTAGGATTAGGGTTTAAATTTCAGAACTACTTAGACACTTTTTACACTTAGTGCTATATTTTGGGTCCCAAGAGAACTTTAGGACAAGTGAAGTTTTGGTCCCATCTGTAATTTTTTTTCAGAGACTTATGGCTGCCTCTATTGTACATTATATAGCAGAATTCAGTTATAGTATTCCAAAAATGAGTCAGGTCAAAAGTTGTAAGAAAACCTGTTCTGCTGTATAAAATGTCATATACAGTAGTTTTCATTTGATCTGCAACCATATGTATAACTGGAGTCAACATTGAAAGGTTCTGGAAACAAACCCTACAGTGGCCTAAAATGCCCTCTCATTGCAATACCATGATTTCAGCATTTTTCACCTGATTGAAAATTTGCCTTAGGCAGATGCATTCTTGAAGACAATCGGTTTCAATGAGCTATTTCCAATGGTTTTGGTTGTTTTAGACTCATACTTTTTGGATTGAGGAACATTTTCAAAACTGATGACTGGAGGGCTACAGAGACAGAATGCAGAGTTGCCCTGCTGAAACCCCAGCTAGGGTTAGGGTTAACATTTCAGAACTACTTAGACACGTTTTGCACTCTGTGATGGATTTTGGGTCCCAAGAGAACTTTAGGACAAGTGTATAAAAAAATATTTTGGTTCTATCTGCAACTTTTTTTTCAGAGACTTGTGGCTGCCTCTATTGTACAGTATATGGCAGAGTTCAGTAATTGTATTCCAAAAATGAGTCAGGTCAAAAGTAGTAAGAAAACCTGTTCTGCTGTTTGAACTCTTATATTTGTCATTTAATGTGCAACTGCATGTATAACTGGAGTCAACATTGAATGGGTCTGGAAACGCAAACCCTACAGTGGCCTAAAATATCCACTCCTTGCAATATATTGAATGGTTGTGGTAATGCCCAAGTGAACTTTAACTAGGGCAATGGTTTTGTCCGATGTTCATTTTATTTTTTTGGATAGATTTGGCTGCATCAATTCTGTTACAGTTAAAGAATTTTAGTCCCCTACAGTGTCAAACAACAAACTGTTAAGAAACACAAATTATAGTGGGAAAACTCTCTCAATTTTCTCATTTCAAGAGGAATCAGAAGTTTAAACAGTACCAAAATTTTATGTTTCTTATAATCCTAACATTAGCCTGGACCTGAAAGGTGTGCTCATGTACAGTACAAACCGTGTTAACAGTGATTTTCAATTGGTTAAACATTTGCTCCATAGAAGAATCAGTTTTGAAGAAAACTAATTTATTGAGTGTTAAAGAATGGATTTGACTGTTTTAGGCTCTTATGTTTTGGATTGAGAGCAATTATTTTTAAACTGATGAATAGAAGGTTTCAGAGACAGACCGTAAATCGACCAATTTAAGTCCCAGCTAGGGTTAGGGTTAGCAATCTCACTGTAGTTAGACATTTTATAACTTCATGACTGTATCTTGGGGCCCAAGTTAAGTTACTTTTCTCCGATCTACACTTTATTTTTTGGGATAGATCTAGCCACATCAATTATACTGTATGCCACCGTTCAAGGACTGTACTCCAATACAGCATCAAAAGACAAAGTGTTAAACACATTCCATTGGGAAATCTCTCACAATGTTGTAATTTCAAAAGGAACCAGAAAAATAAATGGTGTCAAAACTGGATGTGTCTAGCCTGGCCCTTAAATGTGTTCAGTACATAATGTATTAACAGCAGTTTTCAACTGACTGAAAATTTGCTCTATAGAAGATTCAGCATTGAAGAGAACAAATTTACAAGAGTGCTTAGAAATGGATTTGATTGTTTTATCTTATTTTTTTTTAAATTCAGAATCATTTTTAAAGTCTGATGATTAGAAAGCCTTTTAGACAGACTGTGATCAATTTAAGCCCCAGCTAGGGTTAGGGTTACCAATGCACAAGTAGTCATTTTCTAACCTCGAGGCTATATTTTGTGCCCCACGTGAATTGGGATTTGATTTTGGAAGAGTGATACAATCACCAATCTTCACTTTATTTATTTTTTGCTTGATTTGGCTGCATTAGTTATATCGCATGGTTCAAGAATTGTACTCCAATACAGTGTCACATGACAAGTTTTAAAAAAAAAAACCATTCCATTGGGCAAACTCTCTCATTTTGTCTTCTTTCAAGAGGAGCCAAAAATGTAAATGGCATCAAAATTAGTTAAATCTTGCAACTCTAATCCTAGCTTGGCCCTTCAATGTATGCTCATCTACATATCGTGTTTACAGCAGTTTTGAATTTATTGAAAATTTGCCTATAGAAGATACATTACTGAAGAAAACAAATTTAGAAGAGTGTTTGAGAACGGATTTGATTGTTTTACTCTCCTGTTTTTTTAATTGAGAAACATTTTTTAAATCTGATTAAGGGCTTCAGAGACAGATTGCAAAATTGGTCAATTAATGCCCCGGCTAGGGTTAGGGTTTGCAATCCCACAGTAGTTAGATGTTTTTTTAATGTTATGGCTGTAGTTTGGGGTCCAGGTAAACTTTAGGAAGAGTGATACTTTTCTCCAGCCTTCACTTTGTTTTTGTTTTTGTATAGATTTGCCTCCATCAATTATATCACAGTTCACAAATTGCACTCCAATGCAGTACAGCAGTGTTCAAGTATAGATTTTGTTGTTTTCGGTTAATATTTTTTGAATTCAGGAAGATTTTCAAGTCTGATGAATGGAAGGCTTCAGATTGCAGTATTGTTCAGTTTAAGCCCAGCTAGGGTTCAGGATGTTTATTCAGTAAACACCAAGTTTTTTGTTAATTTAAACTCATGTTCCTGCTATTAGATATTTTAATTGTCCCAACACAAGCATTCTTTCTTAATGTTTCTTGGGTTTTCACTTTCTTTTTTGTCCGTATTTTGTGGCACATTGTGCATCCCATTCAGTATTTATCAGCTATTCATTCCTACTTTGTCCTGTAACCTTTACTGCATATTCTAATAAAATCATATTTAAATCATAAATCACAGTATTTTGCTGATTTTTACCAGAAAGATAAATGGTCATTTTTCATTGTTTTTATTATTCCAACTCTCAGATTAAAGAAATACCACTAAAACATTCGTTGAATTACACCCTTTTCACATTGTTTTGTAACTGACAGAATAATTAAAAACATAAGCCATAAAATTGTTCTTAAGAATATTATGAGAGGAAAATGCCTTAGTTTATTAAATTCACAACTCATCTGCAAATGGATATTTGTTAGTCCAATACCTGGAGGATATTTTGGCAGATGATTGTTGTTTCTGCAGAGAAACAAGTACTAAATCACTACAGAGAAACTAAAAAATGTTTTGGTTTGTTATTCACGACTGGCAGAGAATTTGTTTTCTGATTTAACATATAAAAGTTTGTTTTTGTTGACCGTATGTTCTAGTTTGACATGGATTGTCCCATACAAATGTAAAGTGTGCTTTCTGTGAATGCAAAATAATGAAATACTTCCATATGTTTACAACACTGAATGGCGTCCACTGCTCCAGGAAACAACAAGCTAGTTGAACTAAAAGATTAATTGTAGATTCACTTAAGACATCACAAAAAAAAACAGAACTAGCAGAGACAAAACAAGCTGCTTTCACTACCACATTTATTTTTTTGTTAGATCAAAATATATCCACCCTACACACCTTAAATATTTTTTTCAGAGAACGAAATTTAGAACATTTTTGATAACTAGTTGGTAATATTTTTAAATGACTACCTTTCTCCCGTCACAAAACATATTTCTTTATTGTTAAAAGTTTTGTAACAGTATTGACAATACAGAAAAGATAACAGCAAAACTTCCAAGGCATTTTTGTTTTTTTTAGAAACATCTATGAAAGTCACAAAATAAATTATTAAATAACGGCATCATGGTGGAGACCATACAGAATATCACAATATATTACATATCATGATATTATCAGCCTGATTCTGAAGCAGAGAAAAAATGGCTTATTCTGTCAAAGAAGGAGAAACAAATATACATACCTCAAAAGGAAGAAAGAAATTAATTGCATTTAGAATGACATAAACACATATATACTTCTTTATTTTTTAAAATGATGTAAAACAAATATATTGAAATCAGGCTGGCAAATAAAAAATTGAGAAATAAAATAACCAATTCAAGACGCTCTAATACTTTATAAAGCTATTCACACGGAAGGCTTTACACTTACGCTCAGAGTGGTTAGAAAATGAACAAATAACTTTTAAAATGCTTATTTTCATCACTTAAAATTTCCAGATCTTTTCCTGTTGTGTGTAAATTTTCAGATTAATTAAATGCGTACTTTACCATGTATATGCTTTTTTTGTTTTGCTGAGAAACGTTTTGACTCTTCTGTTGAGAAATGTGCAACTTTCTTAGAATTATTTACAGTCTTTGTAATAGCTGTTATTACCATCATCACTGTAAGGCTGAATGAGACAAGAGGATTCTAGCCATAAAAAAAAGAGAGAAAACCGAACACGAATCTAGATAATTTATTACCTCATATATTCTTTGATACTAAAAAACGCATTGGCAATTTCTGATTGCTGGCGGGTCTCAACCTCTATGAGACTCTTTAATAATTTATGTAAATTCTGATTAAAGTGCTGCTACAGCCATTAAGATAAACTCACACTGCAGTGCCTTCATTCTTATGTAAAAAAGTATATAAACTTATCGGTTTGCTCCTCTCCTTTGCACAAATAAAAACCTTTAATTTTGCAGCTTGATCATTTTTCTGTACACTATCGCAATTAACCTAGCTGTAACACCGCTGTTGTGCTAGAAAAATAATGGCTCGCGAACAAAGAAAAGTGATGATAAATGGGGTCTCTTGTAACTTTTCTAATTTGTTGGGCACTAAAATGAATATTGTAGACAATGTCAACCACTCAGCATTGTGGGGCTGGGAAGCTTTCAGCTTGGTGCCAAACACACTTCCAGGAGGACATCTCTGATTACATCAAAGAGGAGCTCAGATATGCTCTGGATGCTTTCTAATGTTTCATTGGCTGGGAATTATGAGTTACAATCTTCCTTGTCAGAATTAGATAATTTTTTTATTAAAAATAATTTTAAGGATTAGCATCTTGTTAAAACTCCATAGTATCATCTCGTATAGTCTATAGAACCACTTACAACAGTGTCTGAGCCTAGCAGCATCTAGATAGCGTCCGTAGGATCTCTTTTGTGCAATGAGAACGTATTCGCGTTTCAGAAACTCGGGACATGCAAGCCTGTTTGCGCAGGATAAAAACAGACAGCTTCCTATTGCTCCGGATTTTCTCTGGAAAGGCCGATTTCCTTCCGCTCTGTAAATGAGCTCACCACCCTCCACAGCGCAGCAGGGTTCTCGCAGTTGTGCTGGCTCCTCCAGTGATCAAACAGCCCCTCTCTGCTGCCCAGAATGCTCGGGCACAAGATGCAGTGGAGAGCTGAATCTGCCACATTCCTGTTGGGCGTCACGGGGCTGGTGCTGTGCGGGCTTTCCGTGCTGTTGGCATCGGGTTTGTCATGGACACACCACTCTGCTTTTGCTTCGGACTTGTCCTGGTGGTGTGAGCACGTGTGTCTCTTCAGTCGAGAGAAGGAGAAGAATTCCTCCTTGCAACTCCCGCACTTCACGAGGTTTCTCTTCTCGTTGAGCTGTCGCCAGTAGTGCGCGGCGTGCTTGACCAGCTCATCCTCTGCCTCCCTGCCCCCTTGCACAACCCCTTCCTTCAAACGTACCTGGACCTCCTCCCCGTGCACATACAACAGGTGCAGCTTCATATCCGCGAAGGTGGGGGTGATGGCCTGACAGCGACCACACTTTATCTGTAGCTCCACGGGTTCCTCCTGGTCCTGCCTCTGGCTGTCAATGGAATCGGAGGGGCTCACCCTGTAATGGAATTGGACATATGAGAAGGCAGAACTGTACACAACCATTTTCTGAAAGCCACCAGGTCAAAAAGGTATGTAAAATGCAAAGAATTACAGTCTAAGCAGAACTTCTGCAGATCTTTTAACTTCATTGATACATTTATTAGGCAGGTAAACCTTATTTTAAAGACAGAATCAAGTATTTTTTTCTTAGATTATTATTTTTTATTATAGACCCTCCCACACCTCCAGGAGAGAAAATGAGGCTCCCAGATCTGCTCCTTTGACACGCCCACCCACACAGCCATTCATCATTTAACACTCAGCAGCTCTATAGTGCAGAGGGGCAGCACTGGAGTTGATAAATGGAGAGGGGCAGCAATGGAGAACAGAGACATCTCTCAGTACAAGCCTGTGGCTGTTATGCAAATCATAGTGGTCATTGCCTGCCAGAACTCCAAGAGGACCGTGTGCAGCTACTCTCACCCCTACCTGTCAGTTGTGCATAGTTCCTTGGGGAATCCTAGTCACTGTCAGTTAGTGACTGTGGGAATTTATTAAAACTGGACATGGTCCAGGCTGTACCTATTGATATCTGGATGATACAATTCAACCTGCACACTGGGCAGGCAACAAACTCTGAAGAGTTTGTAGCACTAGAGTGTTACAATTAACAGGTAGTTATAAAATGCTGTACTTTAATTGAACAAACCACACAGCACTATACGATAACTCTAGGTTCAGAGTCGGGCAACCGAATAGCTCATAGCTAAAATAATAGTAGCAATAACTCGTACCCCTCTATAACAACATCTTCTTCATGGTGACTGACAGAGGGCTCCACAGTGAGGATAACTTTATGGACCTCCTTCAGGTGGCTGAAGTAAACTCCCACATAGCCGAAGGCTTTCTCGCAGAACTCGCAGCGCAGGGTTTTCCTAGGCCGGCCTTCCGTGTGATGCAGCTTCATGTGTGTGCTCAAACTGCCTGAATGAGCATATGTCTTCCGACACACGGGACACACATAGGGCCGGCTGTTGGTGTGGCTGTTCATGTGGCTTTGGAGGTGGTGTTTGAACTGAAAGCAGCGACTGCAGGTGGGGCACCTGTACAGCTGTTTACTCTCCAGGTACATGTGGCTAGGGTCCGTGGCTTTTGAAGATTCTTGATTTCCACATGTGAGGTCCAGTTGCTGATAGTCTATAATCTTACTTGGAAGACTCTGGCTTATAAGAAACTCCTGTTCTGGACAATCAGAAGCTTGGACAGAAGGTAGCCCAACCAGCTGAGGAACAGCCTCCATTAAAAGTACAGGCTTTGGTCTGATGCTGCGATACTTCTTTGAAATATCTACTACTTTGTCTTTGGGCCCGTTATTAACAGGTGCTACCTTATCTGGAGTTCTCCTCCTAAAGAAAGACAGAGATCTCTTCTTTCTGGCCTCATAAGCTAATACATCCTCTATTGTCTTTCTTTTCCTTCCCCTTTTCTTGCCTGCTGGCCTCTGTGAAGCCGCCAGTTCCACATTTGACAAACTGCTAGCATTACCCTGTAGTGGGTTCTGAGGCGAAGAGTTGGGTGTCTGCTTCTGACAAATTATTTGTGTAACTGAAGTATTCGGTACCCTTGTTGCAAGATTTGCAGCTTGCACTGCAGAGCAGCTCTTTTCAGGGGCTTTAGCCATCGGTAAATAGGCATTCTTCATTTTTGAATATGGTGGAATGGGCAGCTTCCCTTTTGGAGGCGATGGGATGATCTGGACAGCCTTGCTGAAGACTGCTGGTGAGAGAACAGTGATGCTACTTGCAGAATGTCCAGCAGGCTTCGAAAGGCACCTCTTCATTTTCTCACCCTCATCTTCTGTATTTGGGATTGAACTGATGTTGCTTGGTAGCGATGATGAGGTATTTGATTCTCTCCCTACACCGGGTCCAAAATGCAGAACGCTGGAGGAAGCATGGTCTAAATCTACTCTGTCTGACTTTGTAGGTTTTTCTGCCTGTGCTCCAGAATACAAGATGGTGTTTTCCGTCAGCAAGGTTGTGACTGCAATCTCTGACGACCCCGAGTCTATCAATATAACTTGCTCAGAGCCCTCTGTGGTACCAGCGGGTTCCGAGCTGGAGGTCTTGATGTGGACGGCCTGCTGTGACTGCAGGACTGTTTTGGTAGGTGGCTGCATCTTGGCTAGATGAGTTGCAGTGGTTTTATCCGGGGTGCGCTTGCTTTTCATAGGCTGGTACCTGGGGATTGGTAGCTTCATGTTTTTCGGGAACGTCAAGCCTTTCTGAAGCTGCTGTGGTGACTGGGGCGAGATAGACGGAGGCAAGGCTACCAGGGAGAAGGTACCCTCTTGTCCAGCGACTCGCATCAGGGCGTAGTTCTGAGCTGGGACAATGATGGACTTCGGACTGGCCACTGAGGCCTCAGGCAGTGAAGAACTGGGCTGGCATGAGAGGAGGGCAGGGGGGGATAGGGAAGATGGAGCCTTAGGGGCAATCGTTCTGAACTGGAGGCTCTTAGTCTGGCACGCTGCATTGGATGATGATTTTGGCTCACCTGTCAAACATAGTAAAATGTTATTTTGCTAAAAACTGATTGGCTAACATGGGTTACTAAAATCTTGTTAGAATTGCCATGTCTGAATACAAACCTATAAAACAGAAGAACATTACAAGCAGTACTTTTTGTTTTGCATTTGAGAAGAACACTAACTTTTTTAATCATACACAAATTAGTTAATTACAGGGTATACGTGTTACGTTTTAACACATTCCTAAAATATAAAGGACAATTTAAATAAATATTGTAAAATCTACAGTTTATAGTTCCCAAATTCTAAAAACAAGTTTCAGTTTACTCAGTTATAGCTCAGCTGCACAGAAAGACAGCATAATATGACAGGAGGGAGAGAAAAAAAGACAGGGAAGGAAAAAAGAAGAATTTGTTCTGATCCGTCTTAGAAGCCAGATTTCAGTAAAGTGATTTGAAACTTGTTTTAGAAAACTGAGATTTCCTTTATTGATCAATTCTCAGGCTAAAGACGTTCTCTCCTAGTTTCGTGATGCATCGTTAGAATAGGGAGAGAGGTTCCCATTCACTTTGGGCAACCAATTTAAAGGAAAGCACATTCAGCGCCGGCTCATATTCCTTTCATCATCATTATCATTTAGGAGAATACCTACTGTTCAGTGTCTTTCAAATTTGGGACTGTTACATTTAATAACTTATTCATTTTTTATATTTTCTGCTCTTATTTCCAGACACCCCACACTCCCCTAATTAACTACCAGGCTGTTTTCCAGGTAACATAAGCGTTAATTCATAACTGGTTCTTGAGCTGTGACACAGAAACATGGGAACAGTGTCAGGGAGTGGTAAAGGTGAGCCTGTCGTCATGGCTCCCCTTGAAGTAACTCTGTTGTTGGCAGAAGGATGAATAGTTGGGTTGCAATTGTGGTTGAAAGCATTGGGAGTGAATGATATTTTGTACTTCTGGCAAAGTGATTTTGTTTAAATAGGAGTGAAATTCCTGTAGCAAGGGGAATGGCACTGCCCCTTTATTCCCCCTTCATTTTGAACAATCCTTGAGAGGAAAAACAAAGTTACTGTATTAGTCTGACAATATATATAATAACATTACATTACAGGGATAGATTTTTTTAATACTTTGTCCCTAATTTTCTAATAATATTGCTCCACACAGGGCAAGTACCTTGGGCTTCACAATTGACTCGACATCTCAATTGCCTTTTTTTTTTTTACAATAATGTTTAGAGATGCTGTCTAACAAGCTGTTCAGGACTTTGAGCTACTGAAAAAGAAATACAGTCACGAATAAGGGTACCAGAAGGTTGGAAGTATCTGATAGGACCCATCACCTATATTTGTCCCTACATAAACTACAATTGGCCGTTCATCGAACCCTTCTGCACTTGGCTTACTGGTAAATTTGTCTCATAACCTCAGTCCATGTAATAGTATTTTACTGAAGCATGAATCAGCCTCAGGGCTGGACATTTCATATATAAAAGCTATATTTACAGTTAATGTATTGACAGTGTAGTCATGGGCAACTTAATGTCCCAGAACAATATTCTTGTTGTACACTACTAAAGAACAAATACGGTGAGGGCCTGTAAAAAGCATCCTTCAGTACCCCACTGCACGATGTTATACCAGAGATTTTCTGATCTGCAGCAAAGTGATCACAATCTGGAAAAGATTGACATGTCATATATTTACACCAGATGTGTTGTGAAATCTCCAAACAGCATGAACATTTTGTTTTTCTTATTACTAATGCTTTTAACTAAATATGTACCCATTTATACATCTGTTCATTTTACTAAAACAATCTGAGTTCATTACCTTGCTGGCTGCAGGGTTCAACAGCAGCACCTCACCTAGCAGCTGAACCCATACACACAGGAAGAACATGGAGACGCCACGCAACCTAGTGTCCAGAGTTGAAATGAGGACCTGGATCTGTGCAGTAGTGCTACCCAGGGCCGGGCCCGGGTCACAGGTAGACTAGGCAATTCTATAGGGCCAGGAGGCTACCTCAATGTGCAACACTTTTTTTTTTTAATTGGCATGTTCAAAGGCGAGTCATAAAATTCCCTCTATTTGCTCTTTCTTTTGCTGCTGTGGATGATCTTAATCAAGAACCATAATTAAGAACATAATATGTTACGTTGGTTTCTGATAAGCCAAGATGTGGAAAACAAATGTTTAAGGGAGGTCAGGGTCCTGTTTCACAAAACAGGTTTAATTATTAAGGATTTTATTTCGGGAATTCAGGAGTTCTGGTTAACTTCATTTCACAAAAGCAAATTCAGGTTCAAGTTATCTGCTGGTATCCAGAAGTAGCTCAGGTTTAAAGTACCTGAATAACTGTGTTTTCACTGCATTTCAGTAGGCAGGAGGGGCGAGCATTTAGTCCTTCATCCATTAAAGAAAAAGCACAGAGAAAGAACAACACATGCAAATATTATGAATGCATACAAAAATTGTTCTTGTGCAAACGCCAATTCCCTCATTGCACAACACACAAAAACTGCGCCAGTCACAAGGACCCTTAGCCCGAAGAAGGCTCCAAGGTCCAAATGTTGTGTTTCTTTTCTTCTCTTTTCAGCATGGAGTAGATATTTACTTGTTCCTCTTAGCCTTTTGTACAGTTTGAGTTTCTTTTAACGCTGATCTACAAAGGCAGTTAACATTGTATGTGCTTAAGAGATCGTGAATGTAAAGTATATCCTGTCTGCTGAAATAGTATCTTTCAAAATTATCAGCAAACTGTAAAGGGCAGGCAATCTCTAAACTTGCTTTCTCTCCGCAAAGCTCTCATGTCAATTGCATCCCTGATTGGTCGGTGAGCCAGACTCTTAAGCCCAGAGTCAGGTTAAGTTGAATTCAACCTGCCCCCAAGAAGGTTGAGAATAGAGGGCATGTTACTTAAGTTACCGGGTACAATTCAATCCTGCTTTTTTTAAACCAAAAATTCAGACTTTTGTCAACACGTTTACAAAAGTTGTATAAAATCTTGCTTTGTGAAATAGACCCCAGCTTTCATTGGTGTCCTTTCTGGTATTTGCCCAATTGTGTTACAGTAGTGTCTTAGTTGAAGGAAGAAATAAGTGAGTTAACACAGGTTTATTGCCATGACTTTGATGATCAAATGTTGTGATGCTGAAATGTATTAATCTTTCATCACATCTAACATGTAAGGAAACCTTACAATTGACCTTTTAGTTGTCTTGCAAACTATGTGCCTCTTATAGTAGTTTAAAATTAAACTAATGAGCATGAATTGTGCAGTGGTTTGACTTCTATCGTATGAAGATATAATTAATGATTTTGCCTCCAGAAAATCATTTTATAGAACATTTTTCTCATAAAACGTTGCCATCTGCTCAGCTTTACTGACCTCACCTCATTATCACGTATAATTGTTAATTTCTTACTTAATTTCATATTTATTTCTACAATTCCTTTCTACAAAGGTTTTAATGCAGTCATTTGTGGTTTATGATTCGCTATAATTTTGAAGCAACAGATCCTGTTTCTCTTTATTGTGTTATTAATGTTTCTTTTACTTTCAATGTTAAATATATTTATATTATCTTTGTAACAAGTCTGTTTCTTGCTGTTGTTTGTATTTATTATGTTTTCTTCAAAGTTGCTGAATAAATGTTTTCTAGTTACGGTCTATAATTCATTGTTCTAAATAGTAAAACAGGTTTGGGGTGAAGGAAGCTGATAATAAATAGTGCGCAGTGGTGTGAAAAAGTACACCCCATAAAAAGCTTTGTCTATTTTTTTTTATATATATAAAGGTTATTTTAAAAAATAACATTGAAAAATCACATTTTGCACTCATTTGTACTATTTAAATCAACAGAAATGCAATTTTCTTGTGTGGAAAAAGTTAGTACGCCCCTACCTTTATCATTGCATCAAATGCCTAAAATTAGAATGAGGTGCACCAAAACAGGTGCAAATGATTATAAGATCATTAGAGAGTAATTTGGAGGGTACTGCTTTATATAAACATCAGAAACCTGTGGTCTGGTTTGGCCTTAGCAATTGAGGTGTGTGGCTACATCATGCCAAGATCAAAAGAGCTCTCTGAAGGCCTCAGAAGAAAGCCATTTAAAGCCATTTCCAAGCAATTTGTAGTCAATGACTCCACTGTCTGAAAGATCATCTACAAATGGAGAAAATTTCAAAATAGATGCACAACTGATGTTTGCCAGACAACACCTAGGTGAAGATCAGGACTATTGAAACAATTTGCTCTGGATGGATGAGACATCATGTTTGGCGAAACCAAAATGTCTTTGACCAAAAGAACATCATACCACCTGTACAGCATGGTGGTGGAAGCATAATGGTTTGGGGCTGCTTTCCTGCCTCAGGGCCTGGCCAGCTTGCCATAAGAGTCAACCACAAATTTCACATTGTACATGAGTACTTGAGGAGAATATGAGGCCATCTGTCAAAAAGGTGAAGCTGAACTGTAAGTGGACCTTGCAACAAGACAATGACCCAAAACACTCAAGCAAATCCACAAAAGAATGGCTCAAAAAGAAGAAAAAGAGGGTTGTGGAATGGCCAAGTCACAGGCCAGATCTTAACCCCATAGAAATGCTGTGGGGGGACAGCAGTACATGCAAGAAAGCCTCAAACATCACACAGTTGAAGGGGTTCTTTAAGAAGGAGTGGGCAAAAATGTATCCGTCAATGTAGGAGACTGATAGGCAATTACAAGAAATGCCTACAAGAAGGGGGCAACACCAGCTATTGGGGTGTAGTTATTTTTCCCACAGCAGACAATTGCATTTATGACTTTTTGTTTTGTTGATTAAATGATTGCAAAGAATAATTTTTATTGTTATTTGTTAAATTAGATCACCTTTATCTACCAATACTGTTGAAATAAAGATCAAATATCCATACATGGAAATGTGTTGAAAAACACACATCTATCCATGGGGTGTACTTACATTTTCCATAGCACTGTACGTGCAAATCGTGATCCTTTCCAAGATCTTACCTAGGGGCCCCCAGAAATCGGCCCTGGTTCTACTGTGCTGCCGGAAAAGATCTCATGCTTGAAAGAATAATATAAAAATGGCTCATAAAACCGTGCTAACCATAAAATACTTCATACCTGATTATATAATACCAAGTGACAATTTTTATTAGAAAAAGATTACTCACATTACTCGAGCCGATAGCATTACCAGGTACAGTCAATTATTCATTCAGAAGAAAAAAATAACAAATCCCAGGCCCACTGGTTAGCTACATTCGCTTTCATGAATTAAAATCAGTCTGCAGCAGCTGTTCTCACTGTATCTGTCAAGGTATAGTTTTGTCTCAGCAGTGCACTATCAGTCTATTCTCAAAAGGCCTATACTGCTGGTATAAAACACACATAATTATCAGAACAGCAGTTCTTAAATGCGAAGACCACTGATCAGACAAGATCGGTGTTGTAATAATAAACGCTGCCTTGGGCAATGCTCTACACCTGGGTTTAAGATTTCCTCAAATTGTCTTTATTAATTTTCCTGAGGAACTGCATGATTTGTTTCACTTGAAACCCTACACCAGCTATTCCTCTAACAAAGTAGTACAGTAGTTGTTCTCTATCATCGTTAGGTGTACCACACAAAGTAATTTGCATAATAAAGATGTTAACATCTGCTATGCACTGACTGGTCCCAGGTGCAGGTGTTGCATCATCACCCTGTTGTCAGTCAGCTCCGCAACGTTATTGCAACAGATGTCGACAATCAGAAATGCGCGGCATCCCATGGCGCAGAGCAATGACGATTTGCTGTCAAAATGTACAAGTTGTTTTTTTTTTCTGCACCTGCATTTAATGATAATGATATATGTCCAAAGGGGAGCTTAGCAGAAGCATGAGGTCTGCTGAAACTCATATGAGTGGGGCTAATTGGAGACAGAATCCCAGGCCTACCTCCAGTGAGGGGTTTCACAGAGATAATCTGGCCCTAGAGCTTTACTGCTTAACTTCCACTCCAGTTACTATTAACAACACACCACCTGTATCATTTATTAGATACAACATACGGTTGAGGCTGTAAGCAGGCTTGATGCTGTCATGTTTTGGGAACTATTGTGGCTGACAAAAATGTAGTTGGACTTGTTCTGGCACTTTATTGTTGTAAAAGCAGTGTGTTTTGTCATTGAGCTGCACTTCTAAAAGGTAAATCCCTGGATGAAATGATTACAAACAAAGTTTTGCTTATTCTTTTATAAAGCCGGTCACTGAGACTTAAATTAGGTCTAAAATATACAACGATACAGAACAATCTAGAGTGGCAAACTTCTCTTGGCAATTTAAGCCTCACTGGGTAATATCTATCAAGGAAACAATATTCTACGCAGTTGTATTTCTATTGCTGCTTTCAAATCCCACGATTTACTATATTTTCAAACTGTATTTCTAAGAGTATTTTGTAACAATGCATCCAATTTGAACAAAGTCTCAATCAGTTTTCAAAATATTTAAAACAAAAGAATGCTGTCTCAGCTGGTATGTGTTCTCCAACATTATCTCCTGAGACGTATGTTGAGCTTCCAAGCAGAGTGTCTGGAAATAACAGTTGGCAATCTATCCACACCCACCCTGAAGAGGTGTCACGCTGACATTTACAGAGCTTCACAGCACAGTGCTTATTGGGACAGGATTTTATATATCTATAAATCTTTCAAAATTGACCCAAGAGCAGAGGAGAGCATTAAAGAGGCAGAGGGTGTGAAAGTAAACAAGCAAACTGAGACACAGGTAATGGTGTCTATTAAATGCATATTTTTGGTGGCTCTTAGACATTTAAGCATGGGGGTTTATCCATCTGGAAAACAATGTGATCCAGTCAAATGCTGACACCACCAATCTGTGCTGACATCCTTGCCTGTTCTCACATTTGCCATTCTGTGGAGAACTGCGCTTCAGAGAGCAGCCCAGCCATGCAGCTGTAGCACCTGTGTCTGACACTGCAAGGTGTAAACTGAAATTGTTCAATATCTGAAGTCTGAAAAGGTTTAGCAATATTTTTAAGATTATGTTTTTCTCTATATATAGATATTCACAGTTAGATTTATTTTTTTATTCTTATGTGTAAGTAGTTTTTAATCTTTCCTACTAGATAAAATACCCCCCAACTGCAAATATTAGTACTTACTGGTATTGAGCACTGGCACTTTCAAATTGATATGATTCATTTTTAGCTCTTGGCTTTTCATCATTTTATCTTCTATAGTCGTGTCATTTTTCCTATAATGGAAAAAAAACACAGCATAAGTTTTAATAAAACATCCATATTAAATCAGCACAATGTGCATTAGCTTAAATTTCCAGCACTGTTACTTTAAAAAGGTGCATCTCGAACAAAGTTACTTTCCATCCCATCAAAAAACATTTAATCCAGCACACTTCAAGCCCTCATCATCTCCAGTCCCACTCCATCCCACCATGAATTCCAGTCGTGACCCACAAAACAAAATTGGACAGTTGGAACAGACGCCCCCTGAAACAAGGTGTTACATCACCTTACATCAGTACCAACATAAACCATCCCCCTCCCCCCACAGACACCATGACTCGTAGCAGCAGAGAGCTCTGGGATGGAGCAGTGGCACTGTGGCTAAGGATCTGCCCCTGTGGCTGAAAGGTTGCCGGTTCAAATCCAGCAAAGGAATCCTTCTCCGTTGGGCCCGTGAGCAAGGCCCTGAACCCCAGCTGCTCCAGGGGTGCCATATAAATGGGGGACCCTGCACTCTGACCCCAAGCTTCTCTCCCTGTCTGTGTGTCTCACGGAGAGCAAGTTGGGGTATGCGAAAAAAAACAAATTCCTAATACAAGAAATTGTATATGGCCAATAAAGTGATCTTATCTGAAATGAAGTAATGATCAAGTAATGCCAGGAGAGTGAATGCAGAAGCTCCTAAGGCTCCTTACCTGACCAGTGAATTAAATATTAATCTGCCTCTGGAAAAGACCACGTTTAGACTCATCATCTAGCAAGAGTACCTTGGAATATTTAGAATCATCATGGAGAAAAAATTAGCCACCCACATCTAGACTCTCCCACAACATGTAAAAAGATGCAAAGATGATATCATAGCTTCATATGATTTTGACTACGAGCAGTCAAATACAGTTAGTAATCTAAGTGCATTATTTGATGATTAGGATTTCTGGAGGTAGAATATGTATGATCCATTTTTTTTTCTGGAAAATAGTGTCATCTACAACCTTGAAGTACTCATTCCAGATTATAACTCTTGGTAAGGGTTTTGTATGTGGCATGCAATAAAAAGACAAATAGAGGAAGCTTGTTTTCCCCCTAAGGTGAAACATATTGTGTGAACAGACAACTGCACTCCCTAATAGGGACACTGCAGGCATGTTTTCTAGAACAGTGGTTCTCAAAGTTCTATGGTCCGCAGACCACTTACACCAAGTCACAGATGCGGTGGACCACCTATGTCCACTTCTTACCCTGCAAAAATCATCACCTATTAATGTACTAAAAATAACTAATATTGAATTAATATTACTAATTACTAATATTTTTACAAACAACAAAGCTGCATATTTTGCAAATGTTGTTACTTAAAAAGTTAATGTGAAGAATGGAGCTGCTTTTGTTGAGCAATCAGAGAAGTTTAGTCTCATGTCCGGACCTAGACGAAGACATCACATCAAACCCTCCTTCTGCTTCCTTGCACATCACATTTATCAAGCTGTTGGGATTAGAATTACAGCACTGCTGTTATGGTTCACAAATTACCTCACTACTCATTTTCACTTCTATTCTGCATCTTACTCACACTTGCGCTGTCACTATCATCGTTATATCTGCGTTTCAGAGTCTCATTTTCAGTGGGTGACATCATTTCATTCATGGTGCATAAATATAAAACAATGACGCGATAGGCGCTGATGGGAGAATGAAGAGTCGAGGTGATCCGCCATAACTCAAGCTTCATTAAAACACAAAGGCAACAGAAGGGTACAGCCAAGGAGAATGAATGGAAACTTTGCCCTTTCGGCAGACCCTGAAGCCAGCCAAGTTGACTAGTCTGGTGCTCGCCCCATTATTGACAAGCACAGTCCCCTTAACGGCTGGTGAAACCCTGATACCTAGACCCAACCCACAAGTCCCTCCTATCATCATTTACAGCTTGCAGTTGTTAACAGTGCTCCTAGGGGTAGCCCCTTCGTAGCAGACACTACAATATTCTTTCATCTGATTTAAACAGCGTAGACTTGCTTTAAAAAAGATGATTAGGTCAGCCCGCGGACCACCTGGCTTCAACAAGCAACATGCATCCAGCTTCTGTTTCTGATGGTATTTTAAGTGTTATTTTTTTATTTATGGCTCCAGAAGCACCATCAGCTCTGAGGAATAGGGATTCACTGTCCAGCTCTGACCAATCAGCTGATTCTCTGCTACATAGCTGAAACCCCACTATCCCTTCTAATGAGTGTTGAGCATAACCACTACATACATCTGAATTATTCTTGTTTGTATGCTATGATTGAACATGCTTTTATACGTAACATGGCCTGAATGGCCACCTCTTATTAGAAACATTACTTTTGTCCTTATATTCTTATCACTAGTCTTTCGCTCACTGCCATGTAAAAAAGCAAGGGAAACCTCAATTATTAAAAAGAAAGCCACAGAAACACTGTATTATTTCATCTAAAATAAGCTTTAGTTGAAGTTATGTTGCTTAGGCAAATAAGATCCATAGAGAATCCCCTTTCTTATTGCTTCCTCTTTGTTATTAAATGGAGATTTAACCAGCGTGAGGAGAACAGTGCATTCTGAAAAGGATTTAGAGTGTAATCTCATGCTTCTTGGAGCAGTAAATCAGTCAGGGAGAAAATGAAATCAGTGCTCAAAGAATTATTCTTCACTACTCAGCTGTGAAAAGAAGGGGGGGGAGACAGGATGTGATCTTCAGTAACACATTAACAGAAAATATTGATATTTAAAGGATACATGTGGTAAAAATAAAGATCTTAGTTACTGCATTTAGAGTCAACCATACCTATAAGGCAAGGACATGCTTTTCTACCCATACCAATATGCATGTTAACCACCTTTGGAATTATTTAGGTCACCCTTTGTGATGTTGTCTGCACCTAAAATATGTTCATATTCAAGGGAATAAACCATCTGTTTAATCATGAGCTTCAAGAAAAGGCAAAGAAACAGAAAATTTAGTGTTATGGCAAAAAGGTCAGTCAAACTAACATTTCCTTTTGGACCGAAACGTAGGTTTCAAGTTTAATGCTAACAAATCGCATATGTTAAACATATCAGCTTTCTTGAATAAGTGCAGGGATCCCTCGAAAGATTATGAATCGTGCTGGGGCATGGGGTCAGATGTAACTATATTCTACGACCGAAGTTCCACTCTTTTAGTATTAGCTGATTCTATCAGACAAGGTCAAGCAAGCACAATACGCAGGCTGAACAGTTAAAGCATGCGGACTAGAGCAAAGATTAACGACAAGTCTATAAATTAGAATAAGAATAAGAAAGAATCCTTTTCAATCAGTGGTGACTCAGTGTCTGTAACCCGAAAAACCAGGCTGAGTGGATGGAGAAACAAACACTCAGTGAAGAATTATTGTGTATCCACACCAACTGCAGGTAATAGATAAAAAATATCAAACATAAATGTACAAGAAGAGCAGACGATATTCAATTCACAGTTAGCAATACACCTGGATCACAACAATATGGAACAGATGAGTAAATAATGTGGGTATAAATGTGCAGATGAATACGTGTGAAGGACCTAATGACAGGTCATGTACCAAGAAGACAAGAGACAGCCCTTTGGCACAAGCAGGTTAATCCAGAGCTAATTCTAAAGCATTTGCAAAATATGAGTAGCAAGTGAGTACGGTATGGTAATTCTTAAACTGACGGGTTTAAAAGTAAAACCTTTTTGCAATAAAAAGACATTTAAGATGAAAAAAAAGGAAAATAATTTAATTCTTTCACAAACAAACAGAGGTTGGAGAGAACAAAGAAGCCTGCGATAGTCAATGTGATAAAAGCATTTATTTGTACTATTTCACTGAAAGAGTGCATGCATTCTTTAGCTGTATAACAGTATATACAGTATATTTATTTCCTCTGCTAGTCTTGTGCTGGTTTCCAGAATTACGGTTTTCTTACTTAAGAAAGGCTAAAAACAAAAGGATGTTATTTGGCCTATTTATCCTGTTTGGCTTCTAGCAACTAATTGATCCAAGAATCTTATCTAGCCATTTCTTATGAGAGGCCAGAGCACTAGCTTCAACAACATGAAAATCAATTCCTCCTTTTCTCAGATTTATGCATTTCCCCTTAATTTCTGTTTTTATTCCTCTGGTTTGAATTTCACTGTAGATTTTGATAAATCCCATTGGTTTTGCCCTTTGTTTTTGTCAATGCTGGTGAGGATTAAGAATACTCGAATCAAGTCCCCTATGTTCAAGCCCCAAAGGATTCCATTCCTTTAAGTTCCTGTAAGACCAGAAATGTACGTATCTAGTCACTCTTGTAACACTTACCAGCATCAGACATTGTGAGTGGGCAATCAGAGGCAGGTCATGCAGACAAGAAATAGTTAACAATGTCCAGATGATTGAAGTAGTTGCCAGGCATTGTGAAATATACTCACTTACCACCGATCCAATGTACTGTGGATGGAAGAGGGTGCCTTCTTCTAATTGGTAAGGATTCCTGTCTGGCTAAGACAGCCACTCTGTCAGACTATAGTCTTAAGACCCGGTAACTCCAAATAGGGCAATTAATGGCGATGACTCAAGGGAGAGTCGACAGATCCAAGTAAAAGTTGTAAAAATAAAAGGGATTTGAGAAAGAAGGAATTTTCTGCCAAAATACACCAAAGCTGAGAAGCTACACCAAAATACACCGACTGAGAAGATAAAGCTGCCAGGACATGTGAAATCTCGTGTTACTGTATCGGTACATAAGTGTGGTCCAAAACGTACCTGTTGGACGCCTACTTGCTGTACTGGTGACAGCTGCCAATGTCAAAAAATGTGTCAGCATGCACGCACGTACTAGCAAGGCTGACAGCATCAGTGCAGGAATATTCGTTTAACCTCTTCTAAAGATCAGTTACAAAAAGAGACAGATTTCTAAGAACTATAAGGAGACAAAACCTTAAAATCATCAATGCCAAGATAAAAACACCATTCCAAGCCCAGAATCTGAAAACAGAGGCTCATTTCAGCTT